ATCTCATCATTTGATAATACTAATTCATTCCCAAAAATTTATTAAACTTGTTTATGTATTTTTTATTTTTTTAAATGAAAATAAATATTAACTACTGTTATTAAAACTTTATCTAAATTTTTCTTTAATTTGGGATAAATTAAAAAAAAACTTAAAAATTACTTAGAAATTAATCATTTATAATTTTTAAAAATTTTATCATAGATAATTATTATTTATTTTAAAATTTATTAAAGTTTTATTTTATATATTTTATATTCGATCTAATTTTTTCTAAAATTTAATCATACAAAATATTTTAAAAATAAATAAATGATAAAAATAAGTAAATAAATGAATAAACTAAAAAAATAAATAAAAATGAAAAGAAAGTACCAAAAAAAAAATTGGCTCAACTTGGCTAAACTTTATGGCTTAGCTGAAGAAACAGAAAATAGCTCGAGAGACGCAGATCCGGGCTCAACTTAGCTCAACTTCATGGCTCAACAACAAGGATGGGTTCTTGGGTCATTGGAATGGATCGGGTCGGGCAAAATAAAAACACACAGATCCTGAAAAGATTAAAGCTTAAACAACGTCGTTTTCCCTAACTATATAAAGCCAATTTTTTTTTCTTAGATTTCCCTTGCTCTCTGTCTTTCTCTCTCCTATTTTCGTTTCCTTTACTTTTCTCTTTAGGTGACTTTCGGTTGTCGGTTTCTACAAACTGGGCCAAAAAATTCAACAATTTCTAGAAATGTCATCAAAAACTGGAAAACGATCATTAAAAATTGATAAAACTATCGAAATGTCACTAAAAAATTTATCTTCACTTGATAAATTCAATCAAAATTTAAAAATTTCTTTAAAAAACCCATAAATTTAGAAAAAAATTTCAAACAATGGCCTCTTTGACCTTCAATCTTCCAAAATCCTCCTAAACCACTATTTCAATCTAATCAAACTCATGATTGCTCAAAACTCCAAAAAATTTCTGATAGAAACTTTGCTTTTTCTTTCAAATTTTTTTATTTGCTCACTGATTGCTCTTGTTTTTTTTTTTTTTTTTTTCTTTTCTAATTCATGTTCCCTTTGATGATTGGAACGTATTTATAGAATAGATCCCCATTTCGATTGGTGTTTTGATGAAAATCAAATCCTTCAAAAATTCCACCTTATTACAAAAAATTAGGCTTTATCCAAAAAAAAAAAAACTTTTTCTCAATTAATTTCAAAATTAAAACGTGGATTATCCTTTTTAAAAAAATTCAATCTCCAACTTGCTGGGCATTCAATTTTTTCAATTATCCCTTTTTTCTTTTTTTTAATTAACCAGATAAAAATGAACTCAAGATTAAAAATAAATAAAAAATAAAATACATCAGATAATGAAGAGATAAATAAATTAATAAACGAATACATTCTATTTAATCCGGTCCAAACCAATTGAAAAGAACACTATAAGAGTCCTGGTTGATGCAGAAGGGAACAGACTAGACACATTCCCTCAAATCGCACAAGAAGCTGTTTTTTTTCCCCAAAAGTCAATAGAAACAATAGATAAAAGTGTAATACGATGTCTACAAGAGTTTCTAGATGAGCTTATTCAGAGCACTTTGAATCGTGAAAAGCATGAAGCAAGAATAAGGCTGGTTCCTGCAGAAGAAATCAAGGGCTCTATGTACTCACTTAACAGTGAGAAGTCCCCTAGGCCGGATGGATACACTGCTCATTTCTTCAAACAGGCTTGGTCCATTATGGGGGAAAACGTCCAGAATGCTATAATGTATTTCTTTAATATTTGAAATATGCTTCCGGCCTTTAATTCTACTATAGTTGCTTTAGTACCTAGATGAAAGAGCCCTAGTAGCATCAAGGACTACAAGCCTATCTCCTGATGTTCTACTATCTACAAATGCACTACCAGGATCTTGACAAACAGGCTAAAGAAAGTCTTGCTCAAGATCATTAGTAGAAGTTAAGGTGCATTCATTGACGGGAGGAGCATCACAGATAATGTTCTCATAGCTCAGGAGATAGTCAAAAGCTATGGAAGAACCACTTCATCTTTTAGGTGTGCAATAAAGATTGACCTTCAGAAGGCGTTTGACATTGTTGACTAGAAGTTTATACTAGCTGTTCTAAAAGCACTCAAATTACCAGATCAGTTTCATAAAGTGGACAAGAAGTTGTATAAAGTGGCCTTGTGGGATATTTTAAATGAGCTAGGGGGATAAGGCAGGGAGACCCACTTTCTCCCTACATGTTCAATCTGGTAATTAATGTGCTCTCAAGGCTATTGGATGATGCAGCCAGACATGGTGTTTTCAATTTTCATCCCGAGTCCAAGAAAATCAATCTGAGTCATTTCTGTTTTGCAGATGATTTATTAATATTCACAAAAGGTAATCTGGACTCTGTGATCGAGATAAAGGAAGTGCTGGAAGCTTTCCATACCATCTTTGGGTTACAGCTTAACAGTGAAAAAAGTGACAAGTTATATCATTTAGGGATAAGCAGAGAAGAGGTTATCTTAATTCAGCAAGTAACTGGATTCAAGGGGGCACATTGCCAGTTAGGTATCCGGGGGTTCCGCTAGTTACAAGAAGGCTCACAAAAAGAGATTGTTCACCTTTATTATAGAAGATTAAAGCAAGAATACAGAATTGGGCTACAAGACTCTTATAGTACGCTGGAAGGCTGTAACTCATCCAATCAGTATTATTCAGTGTACAAGCATACTGGTGCAGGCATTTTATACTCCCCAAGCATGTGCTTTAGAAAGTCAATCAAATGTGCTCAAGCTTCTTCTGGAAGGGAAATAAGGGATCGGCCAAAGGTGTTAAAATAAGCTGGCAAACAATATGTTACCCAAAAGCTGAAGGAGGGTTAGGAATTAAAGACATACTGTTTTGAAATCAAGCTTGTATCATGAAGAACCTCTGGTCTATCCTTACCAAAGCAGGCTCAATATGGATAGCTTGGCTCGAAGAGTATGTACTGAAGGGAAGAAGTATCTGGCAAATGGCAATGCAACAGAATAGCAGCTGGAGCCGGGGAAAGCTTCTTCAACTATGGCAAATTGCCTAACAAGTTATAAAAATAGAGAACGGCGTAGTAGTATGGTCATTTCCAGGGTGCTCTTACTCGACAAAAATAGTCTAGAATGCAATCAGACCAAAGCGAGAGAAGGATGGATGGCATAGGATTCTATGGTTTAAATATCATATTCCTAAGCATTCACTAATTACTTGGATGGTTATTCAGAACAGACTCCCAACTAAGGACAGATTGAGAAAATGGGTATGGAGATTGAGAGCAGATGTTACTTGTGTAAAAGAAAGGATGAGTCAAGGGATCACATTTTTTTTACTGTGTTTAAACTAAAGAAGTCCGGAAGAAGATACTGCAGATGTGTGGGATCAACATGAGAATCGAGTGCTGGGCTGCTGAGCTAAATTGGGCTGAGAAAAAACTAAAAGGAAGAGCTCTTATTTCAATCATCTTATGTGTGGCATGGAATAATTGTCTTTACTTGATATGGAGAGAAAGGAATCAAAGGATGTTCAAACAAGTAGAGTAGATGTCAGAGCTAGTGATAAAGAGAATAAATGTAGTACTTATGAACAAATTGTCTGGGTTAAAACGAATTGCAGGAGATGTTGTTAACAAACAATTATGTGATTCATGGAATTTAAACTGAGCTTCTAGAATAGGTTGACAAATTATTGTATATGCTGATGATTAGTTGTATTGTAGCAGAATTCTGATAGCTTAAATAAAAAAAAATCAGAATTATCCAAAAAAATTTATCATGTTTTTTCAAGCTGTTTTGGAGGCCAGGGATAGACAAACCAACTCAATTATCATGGTTGACCCAACTTTCGCGGCACGCAACCTCACTATCCACCGTAATCCGCCAACCCAACCTCCCTTATCCTTATGATCTTATCATCATATTCATATTATGTATCATATCATTCTTCTTAATAATTTATATACAACATACATACATACATGGGCAGGTTTATTGAAGTTTTACTACCCAGAAATCCACGATAATGAAATGGTGGATACATAATATTTTCTATTTTCTCTTTCTTTTTGCAGCTTAACAAAAGTAGTAGTAGTATTAAGAGATCCAACAGGATTGATTTGGGTTAGATCAATTCACATAAAAGACATTTTGAGTTAAAAATATTCAAAATCATTTTCAAGTTGAACTTTTGAATTTAATATTTAAATTATTCGAATTTGAATTATCATTTCGTATTATTTTAAGTTTATTTTTATATTATATACATATAAATCATTTTATACTTAAATTGAACGGACATGAATGATTAATTTTTTTAATCAAATCAAATTGAATTGAATTGACATTATTGGTTAGATAAATTTTTTTTAAGTTGAAATCAACTTTGCTAATTATATATATATATATATATATATATTAACAAATTATCTTTCAGTGCACAGTTTACAGTGCAGAAATATTAGAAAGTGAGGTCATAATTCATCATTTGAGGCCCAGCTTACAACTTACCTCAATCATTAAATCAACATAATTCAACAAACAAATAAGGAAAAGATAACGTATATAAATAATAAAAAAACTTAAAAATTAATAAGTAATTAGTTCAATCGATTGAAATTTATTTTTTTTGATAAAAAATTATTGAATTTAAATTTTATCGATGATTATTTATTAAAATTATTTTAAATATATGATCTATAATTATTTATTTTAAATTATTAGATATGATATATTTTATTTTAATTTAAAAACTGAATATTTTATCTATTTAAAATTTTTCTTTCTACCAAAAAAAAAAAGAAACTAAAGTATGATAGTCCAATCCCCAGTCCATCCAACAAGCCCAACACAGATGCCAAAATTACCCCATACAGTAATTAAGCAGCCTCGCAACAACTGACGTCACAGCACAAAAGCCTCACTGTTATAGCTTTTTTTTACTGCTGAGGCTTCTGCATGTTGTGATTTTTTTTGGCTAGTCGTGTTGTGATCCACAAAACCAAAATATAACCACCCCGTAAATCTCATGCATTTTTAACTTTTTACTGCACTCTTTTGTTTTGCTTACATCTTAAACTACAGGCGTAGGCAGTCTTCTTGCTCTAGTGCCAACACAAAAACGCAGGTGGTGAGAGAGAAAGCGAAAGAAAGCGAGAGAAAAGGAAACTTCGGAGAAACAATTTAAAAAAAAAAATTGAATAAAGATATGTGGGAGTGAAGAAAAAAAGGGAAGTAGATTAGACAAATAGAGTATTTATGGTTTGGTGTGTGTTTTTTAAGTAGCGATCGGAGAGTCGGATGTTATATCCGATCGTCGCTGATCGGAGATGCTACTTGGCGGTGGTGATGGTGGTGAAGGCGGAGGTAGTCCGAGGTGATGGTAGGGGTGGCAGTGGCGGAGGAGGAGGGGAAGAGTCGGTGGCGGTGATGGTTGAGAATAGTAGAACAAGTAGGAGTATTTTTGTAGTTGGACGATGAGGAAAGGGAAGGGCAGGAACAATGGCTTGTTGCCGAATTCCTTAAGGATAATATCGTCTTGCCTAAAGACTGTTTCTACAAATGCTAGTAACGTCGCTTCCACGGTTCGCTCCGCTGGTGCTTCCGTTGCTGCTTCCATCTCCACTTCTTCTGAAGATCATAAAGATCAGGTTTACCATTTCAGACTTTATCGTTTATATCTGTTTTTTTTTTTTTTTTTTTGAATTCTAATTTGCATGGTATTTTAAAACTTTTAGGTTATCTTAGCTGAGTAGTCTAGTGTATTTATAGAGGTAATGGGGATTTAAAGCTTAATTGCTCTCTGTATATGTTGTTTTTATACTTAGCTTGATATTTAGGGTACCTAAACGCAGTTAGGTTAACCTTAATTAAGTGTCATTAATGCTGTTACAAGTATATGAAAACAAGAATTGAAGAAATGATATGAAGTGTTTTGGCTCGAAAATTTTTGCCCCCTTTTTTTTTATTATTATTATCAAGTAGTGAGAGAAGACTTAGTAGGGATATGGTGCTGAGGATCATTTCGCTATGCTAATAGTAAACAATTGGGATTTGGAGTCAGGCGAATCTACTCTAACTATGCTTTTCACCTCAAACCTTGTATCTTAACTATCCTTCAAGTATTGATTATATTGATGTTGCTTTTACTCTGTGCAATTTTCGTGGGGCGTAGTTCGGAAAATCTTAAAGTTAATGCACCCACATACCTCCTTCTTGTGAAATAAATTAATGTGGATTGTTATGATGAAATGCGAATCCCTGTGAATTGATATTAATATAAGTCATCCACGAATTTTCTTTTCATCATGTCTCATATCGGGACTGCTGTGCTTGGAGAAGCATGAATACTTCTTCAGAAATTCTTTTAACAACACAAAATGTGGAACGCAATAGGTTTCTTCATGGAATGGTTTTTCTTATGCTTAGCTTTAAATTATTGATAATAAATTTACACACTGTTTCTTTGATATGCTCTCCCTGCCTTTTTAGATTGGGCAAATTCTAATTCAATGTTGTGATTCTGTTAGATTTTCATGGGGGGTTTTTTGGAATGCTTCTTGATGCATTTCTTCCTATTTTGAAAACCATGTTTGCTTAGGTGTATTTCCATTATTTGTTCTGTGAACAGGTAACATGGGCTGGCTTTGACAGGTTGGAACTTGGTCCATCTCTCTTCAAGAATGTCCTCTTACTTGGTTACCAGACTGGATTTCAAGTCCTTGATGTGGAGGATGCCTCTAATTATACAGAACTGGTTTCAAAGCGTGATGGTCCAGTTTCATTCTTACAGATGCAGCCTTGCCCCCTGAGTTCAGATGGACAAGAAGGATTCAGATCATCACATCCTATGCTTTTGGTTGTTGCTGGTGATGACACCAATAGTTTAAGATTGGGTCAGAATGCTGGCCATTTGGCTGGGGTGGCCCGAGATTGCCGGATGGAGTCACAGTCAGGAAACTCTGTCAACTCACCTACAACAGTTCGATTTTACTCTCTTCGGTCTCACTGTACTGTCCATGTTCTGAGATTTAGATCATCTGTGTGCATGATCAGATGCAGTTCTCGGATTGTAGCTGTAGGTCTTGCAACACAAGTAAGTGCTGGCTGATATAAATGGTACATTGGGTGCAAAAGTATGAAAAGTCATTTTGTTTGAAGTGCAGATGAATTGATGCTGATTTATTCTAAGATAAAGACTTATCAATGGCATAGATATTTTCTTCTCATTTATACCTTTTTTCGTTCTAAATTTTGTTGTAGTTGTGGTTATGGATTATCTCAGTCTATAAGTGGTCTTAGTTTCTTGTATTGCTGTAGCTATTGCTGCAAGTAATCTGTCACTCCAAAGGAAGTAGGTTGATCCACCACTCTGATATGTACCAATTAAAGGCAACTCAATTGTATGAAGATTGTGTACTCTCCTTTGTCCAAGGTTATTTATGGTGCTGGAAATCTCATAATTAATTCTTCTTGTTTGGTTGCAGATATATTGTTTTGATGCCCTCACTCTTGAGAATAAGTTTAGTGTCCTCACTTATCCTGTTCCCCAGTTGGCTGGACAAGGGGCTGTTGGGATTAATGTTGGCTATGGTCCAATGGCTGTGGGTCCAAGGTGGTTAGCATATGCTTCCAATAATCCACTGTTGTCTAATACTGGCGTCTTAAGCCCACAAAAGCTTGCCCCTTCTCTTGGTGTCAGTCCATCAACATCACCAGGTGGCAGTAGTTTGGTTGCTCGTTTTGCAATGGAATCTAGTAAGCATTTGGCAACTGGGATGATTAACTTGGGGGATATGGGATACAGAACTTTATCGAAGTGTTATCAAGAGCTACTTCCTGATGGGTCAAATTCTCCTGTTTCACAAAATTCTGTTTGGAAAGTTGGAAGGCTGACAGGAACTGACATGGACAATGCCGGAATGGTTAGTTTTATGCTTTAGTGTAGAGAACATATCTTATTGTTTTGATAATATCTCATGGTTTTTTGTCTATATTTCAGGATAAAATTTTCTTTTTTCAAATTTGAGGTTTTACGTGTTTTTTCTGGATAAGATTCTGAACTATTAATGCTTGCAGCATAATAATATGGAGGCGTCCTCTCCAAATAATTCCAAAATTCATTTATATATATATATATATATATATATATATATTCCAATTAGATTCCTCTAGGATTTTTTGTGATGCCTCTGCTTATAAGCTGGCGAGCAGGCATACAAAATTTAATTTCTCTTAACTGTTAAAAATGTTTTGATCAATGAATAAATAGAATTTAATTTAATGTAATAAAGGTATGGACTCTGCACAAAGAGAATGAGATGATCATTTTTCCAATCTTAGTTCCAAATGGAACAAACTGAACCTTAATGTTTCATTTTGTCTGTAAAAATTGCAAAGCTGGAAAATGAAGAATGAAATGAATGTGATATAATCATAAATAGCTTTAAAAGGATGCATTAGGTGACTATGCTGTCTTCTTTACATGTTAGTAAGATAGTAAGTTTTACATGATAGATGATATTTGCTGTATAATTACTAACACTTCTTAGGGTTTAAATGGTTGATTTTGTAGGTTGTTATAAAGGATTTTGTTTCCCGTGATGTTATATCACAATTTAAAGCCCATACGAGCCCAATCTCTGCATTAAGTTTTGACCCTAGTGGGACCCTTCTGGTTACTGCATCAGTATATGGAAATAACATAAATATATTCAGGATTATGCCATCATGTGTGCACTCTGGATCAGGTGCTCAAAGTTATGACTGGAGCTCTTCTCATGTGCATCTTTACAAGCTACATCGTGGAATAACATCAGCTGTTAGTATATTTTTAGTTTCAAGATATTTCTTAATTTCCTACGTTCTTCTTGTGGATTGCATATTCATAGTATTGTATTTTTTATGTCTGTTAATTTGACAGATGATTCAAGATATTTGCTTTAGTCACTATAGTCAGTGGGTTGCTATTGTTTCATCCAAGGGGACTTGCCATATTTTTGTCTTATCCCCTTTTGGAGGTGATGCGGGATTTCAAACACTTAATTCTCAGGGTGAGGAGCCCTCCCTATTTCCGGTTTTATCCTTGCCATGGTGGTCTGCCTCATCTTGTGTCATTAACCAGCAATCTTTCCCACCTCCACTACCTGTTGTCCTTTCTGTTGTCAGCAGGATAAAATACAGTAGTTTTGGATGGCTTAATACGGTAAGCAACACTGCTGCTTCTACAACAGGAAAGGTTTTTGTGCCATCTGGTGCTGTTGCTGCTGTTTTTCATAATTCTATATCACTAAGTCCTCGGCACGTTAACCTAAGAACTAATTCCTTGGAACATCTTCTAGTTTATACTCCATCAGGTCATGTAGTTCAACATGAGCTTCTGCCATCAATTGGGACAGATTCAGGTGCTAATAACTCAAGAATTCAGACAGCTTTGTATACACACATACAAGAGGATGACTTGAGGGTGAAAGTTGAACCTGTTCAGTGGTGGGATGTATGTAGGAGGTCAGATTGGCCAGAAAGAAAGGAATGTATTTCTCGGTCTACCCTTGAGAGACAAGATGTTGCAGAAGTTGTTCAAAGTAAATCAGGCTGTGAAGAATACAGGATTCATTCTCCGGAAATTAATGATAGTGTCAGTGGAGAAAAGACTTCAAAACCTTTTCCTAAAAAGCCCCATGAGAGCTTCCACTGGTACCTCTCTAATGCAGAGGTTCAAGTAAACTCCTGGAAGTTACCAATTTGGCAAAAGTCTAAGGTAGTTCACGTGCTTAAAGTTCTCTTGCTCATAATTTTGTGCTATATCTCACTTGAGATTTATGTTTCTCATTATTACAGATTTCTTTTTACATGATGGATTCACCACAAGCTAACAGTTGTAAAGGTGGTGAGTTTGAAATTGAGAAGATCTCAGTTCATGAAGTTGAAATTAACCGCAAGGAATTATTACCTGTTTTTGACAATTTCCATAGTATCAAATCAGGCTGGAATGACAGGTGATCACCATTATTTGTCTGGATCTCATACAATGAGGCTTAATAATTATTGTCGCTGTTGTTTTTATTTTATCCTTAAGGATTTAACAAGATTGGATGTTTTAGCTTTTTGCCAGGAATTTAGTTAAGAGTGTGTCTGTGTTTGTGTCATCTCTAAACATACAGCAGAGTTCCCCAATGATTTTATGGTCTTGATTTCTCACCGTTTATACCGGAAAACAGAAGATGTAAGATGTAACTGTCTTGTTCTTCCTACATTATAATGTGCTCACATAAGCTACTCAGGGGTGAAAGAAAGAGTGTGTTTGGCTGTGTTTAAAAAAAGGTTGGTTGTTGGGTGAATACAAAATATGCTAACATCATGGAAAATTTTCTTGTACAAAATGTCTGACATGGGTATATATTGGATTGCATGCAAAATGTTTCTGGTAAAATTTTTCGTTAGTTTTAAGGATTTAAGTGCCATACTTGCAAAAATTCAAAGTGTCCAACAAAATTCAGATACTTATATTAGGGTGAAATGAAGTGTTCATGCGTCTACTATGGTTGTGTTTAAAATATACTTAGTGCCCATCTTGGTTGTTCCATATAGGTGTTTTACTGTGGGCAAACATCCTCTGCCCTTGTCTCCGGATCCTCATCAAGGTGAATATAAAGTCTCACAAGAGACTATTATTTGTCATTCAAAGCCAGCGTCCCTTAGCTCCACTGAAAGTTCTGAAGGAGGTAAGTTGATGTGATTGCTCGAATGCAATTTTTGTTTGTTAATTAAAATCACATCATTTGATGATTGAAATTCCTGTCAGGTTCATCAAGGAGACTAGAGAATCTACTTGATTTGGATCAAATTAACTGTGAGAAGTCTTACACATCCAGTTACCAGGGTCTGAATGCAATTTACCATGGAAAAAGTGGGAACGGCATTATTGAGCCAATGGTGCTGAAGCGGGAGTCTTTGACCATCATATCTTCTCCATCTCAGCACTCAGAGAAAATATATTCCAACACCAGTCACTCTGTGACAAACGGTTTTTCCAAAGAGAGTAAGTTGCCTCCATTAAGAAGTACGGCTGAAGGAACACCATCTTTTGATGCTGGTGGGATTGATAATGCCTCAATTTTGCACGTAGACCATTACAATGCACCTACAAACATTCTTACAGATGGATCGGCATTTTCTGCAGAACAGAATCTCGTTGATTTTGGGCATTTCCAGGAAGGGCATTATGAAATCTTACAGCACAATGAATGCAGCAAGTTGACCAAAGTTGTGAATGATGATGTCGAAGGCGGCCGCAACCACTGTGGGAAGAAAAAACTAGAAGAGGATGGGGAAAATGATGAACTGCTTGGTGCCATGTTTGTCTTCCCTGAAGAAGGTAGAAACTTGAAGCTATAGCTCTAGTGTTCCCTCAAAGAAACTAGGCTCAACCAGCTTCTTCCTCGCTAATAATGTCATTTTTCTACCTTTCCAAAACTAATTTACATGAATTTACATTGTTGGATTTTTTTGGCAGGTTGCTAGTAATCCATCACTCATGGTATTTGTTCAAACTGCTGTAGAAAGCTTGGTTCAAGGTCATCGAGATAGTTAGCAAAGGTATGTTTTTGGTAATCAAAATGCATTGCACATTGTAAATAAGATGGGGTGCTGATGGTGTTGTATGGTTTCTGATTAATGCTCGAGTGTTGTAAGAGCATGCATCATCTTTCCCCGTCTCGTGTACATTTTGTAGATGGCAATTCGTAAAAAGAAAAAATCATGGAGACCACTGGATTTAGGACAAGGATTAAACTCAAATCAAAACTCGATGTGGAGCTAGATTTGGGTTCAAGTTCCTTGTCTTGATGATATCAAGCTTTGTCTGTACAGAAATTGTGTGAAGAAACTCTATCCCAAGCTGTATAACAATGTTGTTTTTCTGGTGAGAGAAAAAAAAAAAAAGGAAATGTCAAATGAAAGGAGGAAAAGATGAAATTACTTTGTATTCGTAAGTTCACTCTCCCCTTGTTCTCTGGCTATGCGGAGTATATGCAAGTAGGCACATGACAATTGGAAACCCTTTCTTCAAATGGTTAGGTGCTCAAAAACAAAATTTTAAAATAAGCAGTAGAATTAAACTGTCTCAAACTTTATAATTATGAAAAGTTTTGAAGATTTTGAAGTACTTATAGATAAATTTTGTTTTTCCTTTTTTCTAAAAAAAATTGATTTTGATTGTAATATGTGGAAGATGTAAATTACTAGTATATGGTTTGGATTAACTTTTTATGAGAGTTTTTTGGATATGCTACAATTCGAACAATGTAACAAAGGATTTTTAATTCAATAGTTGAGTTGTACAAAGTAGGATCAGATGACTTTTCCCTTTTTTCTGCTTTGGATTGATAAATTTGGTAATCATTAAAAAAAAAAACTTGGTATACTAAATGGGTTTATATATAGGTAATGGGCATAAATGGGTTTATATTTAATGTATAGGTTTTATAGATTATGAATAAATTAAATAATATCATTTTTTTGAAAAAATAAATCGAATGTTGTTAAGAATAAATTTTTAAAGAAATTAACTTTTTATATATTTATTTAAAAATTAATATTTATTCATTAATAAAATATAAATTTATCTTAAATTATATTATTTTAGTATAATATATTTTAAACATGTGATTTTTTTAATTTTTAATTAAATTTAATAATTATTTTATTTGTATCATATTTATTTCATATCACATACTTATAATATAAAAAAATTAAAACCTCCAACCATATGTATTTAACTTAAAACACGTAAGAGCTGTCTACTTGCTCGATCTAACCATTAATGAAGAGGTTTTCAACTATAAACCGTGATGCGCTCTCATTTGCACACGCTTGAGCCGTTATCGAATAATATATTTACTCGTACGTTTTTTATCAGACACTTGGTGTACTTGTGAGTGTGCAATTTCAGACACGTGTGCTTGTTGTGAGAGTGTATCACTTTTGTTGGCTAGCCCTAGGGCACTGTATGCTAGTTACTTTGTTGAGTTGAAGTTGATTTTGGACGCGTGAAAAATCAATCCGAGTTTCATAGGTTTTGAGGTAAAATTTCGATTCGTGATAAAAAATATAAAAATTATTATGTTATAGTTTATATTGATATGTTAGTTATAATATATATAGTTTTAATATTTATTGAATTTATATATAATTTTTATTAAAAATTGTAAATTACATCATTTTTATATATTTTTATATTACAATATCTATAATTATGGGTTATAATAAAAATGCTTCTAATTGATTCTTTCAGCACATTTGCAAATTAAGCCAAGATATGAACCTAATACCCATAAGCTAAGACAAGTAGGTAAGGCCCATATCGCAGTTTTGTAGGACCTCACCATTTACTGATAAAATTTTTATATTTAAAGAAAAATGGGTTATGATTAGTTTTAAAGAAACCTCATTTTTCTCTTTTTTCTAGTATAAAATAATAAAGAATTAAATTACTTGATAGCTTTTGATAAGTCAATTAATATTTACTTTCCTTAAAAGAAAAAGAAATTAAATTACTCAATAATACAGCTTATGATAAGTCAATTAATTCTAACTTTATTAAGACATTAAATTGCTTAATAACACTGATTTGGTAATACTGACATTCCATTTCTCTAAAATGGAAAGTAAAGTACATGTATCTTTATTTGAATAGTTAATATTAATTAAAAATAAAAATTTTATAATAATTATTATTTGATTAAAATTAATTATAAAATAAATAAAATAAAAATTATAAAAAATATTGCTTGGCTAAATAGTAAAAAAGAGAATTTATAGTTTAATTTAAGTGATTCACTCACTTTCTATAATACTGAAGTTTGACTCTTAGTATTTGCAAATTTTTTTTCTCCAATATTCCTTAAATTTTATTTTTTAAAAAAATATTAAAAAAGAAAAAATATTATAATATTTTTTTCAATTATAATAACTTTTTTTTTATAAAATAACATATAATATCAATTTTTTTGAAATATTAAACTAAAATGTAAAATAGTGTACAATAAAATTTAATCCTAAGAAATCAAATATCTTCTAAAAATAATGTTTCTTAATTCCATTTCATGCTAAAAAATAATTAAAATTATGTAAATATTGAAATTTTCATGTTATAAATTTAATAGAAGCCAAAAGTATTAAAAAATTGATGGTGAACTATTAATTAAGGTTTTGTTTGATATACTAAAAAATTAAGTGTTAAAAAAATTAAATACTGAATTTTTAATAATAAATTTGATAAGTACTACATTTGAATTATAAAAATTGTTTGGTATATATTGAAAATTAATATATTGTTTGATAACCATAAATATTAAATTCATAAAATTTATTATTTTATTTATTTAACTTTATATTCATAACAGATAATGAAATAATATTTTTAGAGGATAGTAATTTAAAAAAATTTCCTGAACATTTTTCTACATTATGTGATAGGTAAGTCGATGCCTGTTTACCTTATTAAATATTTTTTGTTGAAAATTTTCTTTTAAGTTAATTTTAAAATATATTATCAAACGCATTAAAAAAAATTAAAATATATTTTTTTAATGCAACGAAAATTTTCAATGATTTATCAAACAGAACCTAAATTTGATAATTAAATTTGAAAATTAATAAAGTTTTATTTAGAATTTTAAAAAAAATAATAACAGTTTAATAATCATTTTATATTTTATATTTTTCATTTCCTTCAATTCAATTTAAGATAATTAAAAAATAAAAAAATATATGAGAAAAATTCAAGGGTTAAGCATTCTTCCCTTTCATTTATTTTAATTTAGGCTAAAATGATAAAAAAAATTTCATGAATTTTATTAATTTACTTAAATAAATTTTTATATTTTTATTACATTCAAATAAACTCTTAATTTTTAATTTATATTAAAACAAATTTTTAATATTTAAATCATATTTAAATAATTCTTTAATTTTTTTTACTTAAATAATTTTTTAATATAAATTAATTTTTATGTAAAATAAAAATTTATTCAAACACAAATCAAACGACAAAAATTTATTTAAATAATAAAATAATTCAAAATTTTTTTTAATATTTCAACTTTTAATTTATACGATTGTCATTTTTCTTTAATCCAAATATAGGTTTAGTATTTATTAATCATAAAAAACAACAAAATCAAAAACAAAAACATAAGGTCCTACGGTTATGTTTTGCTTTTACTAGTCAGATGTTTCAAGCGTTGTTCTTTGGTTAAGATCGGCCATTGTCGAGTGTGTGTTTTAAGTGATTAAACTGCTTTAGAAAAAGGAAAACAGAGACAAAAACAGTGGAGGCCACCATGGATGTTGTCAATCAGTTGCGGAGACAGTTTGTTGACTACTATACATCACTACATCGTGAGGTCGATATCTTTTCTTTTATGTTCTTTGCTTTATTGGTTATATTTGACCAGAAGATTTTATATGTTTGATAAACTCAGTAGATGGGTTTTGGGTTTTGAAGCCTAGGATTGCTTCTATTGAAAACATTTCTGCTAAATAAATCTTTTTCCATAAGGAAAAAAATACGTCTTTAACATTTTGTTATAAAGTCAAATCTAGTGGGGTCCTATCAGATTTGTTCTTGAAAAAAGGGAAAACTTTGGGTTTTTATTCTTATTTTTTGTCCTATCATTTTATGAACTGTTTTTGTTTTCTTTTTGGGGTTTTCTGATGATGGGTTGTTATTGGTTTTGAGCAGGGATTTGTGGATGATCAGTTTACTCAGCTCCAAAAACTGCAAGATGAAAACAGCCCCGACTTTGTGGTTGAGGTTGCCTCTCTTTTCTTTGAAGATTGTGAGAAGCTCATCAACAACATGGCCAGAGCTCTGTAAGTGTTTTACTGTTTTTGTCTTACTTTATCTTGTTTCTTTGTTCACTTCCTTTGATTTCCTATGCAAAGTCTATTTTTCAATATACTTTTAACTCTCCTTTATGGGGTTTTAAAGAACGAAATAGCTTTATTTGTTGGATAAACTGATTTTTAGTAATTGGTATTTTTTTCCCCCTATTTCTTCAGAGAGCAACAACAACGTGTTGATTTCAAGCAAGTAGATGCGAGCGTACATCAGCTAAAGGGTAGTAGTTCCAGGTATTCATAGACATCTTTTAGTTTTTCTAATTGATTTGCTACCATTTAATTGGGATATTCAAACTCAAGTATTCCAAGGAACTAATGATCATTATAGAATATCAATAATGATGGTATGGCAAATCAATCAAATTGTTGTTTCATTGCTTCTTGTAGAGATTGGAATGCATTTACCTACATATATGCTCATTAGTTTGAAAGTTTCTTCTGAGTGTTCTTGTCTGTATGGTAATAGCATTGGTGCAATGAGAGTAAAAAATGTATGCATTGCCTTCCGAAGTTTTTGCGAGGCCCAAAACCGTGAAGGGTGAGTTTTGCTTCCTATTTATGTGTATGGTATTTTGTGATTATTCATTTATGACATCATGTAATGCTCAATTAACTCAATTGACCAACCCCTGAACTTGAAATTTCTCGATAAAATGCCCTAATTAACATATTCAAATGTTACTGTACCATGTGTGCTCTTTAGTTATACTAAAAGAACAGAAATTTTCAAATTTTGGCATGAAAAGGTTCTTTTTTCCGAGTTTTTTTCTTGGCTCTATATGAATTGCTTGGCTAACCCTATAATTCTAGAAATCTTTTCTTTCTCCTTTAGCTTGAGCAGTGTTTGGATTCCTTTATCAGAATGAAGGGTTAATAATCTTGACATAGAGTACTGCCATTAGCCACTATTGCACATCCCTTTCATGTTAGTTAGTTTTTTGTCTGTACATGTTGAAGATAATGCCTCTTTATTAGTTTTTTTTTTTCAGAAACACATGCTATCATTTTTATGCATGGCAAGAAGGCTTCTAAGAGCAAAAGGTTAATCTAGCATCTTACTGCTTTTTTTGAGGGACTCATAGTTACATCTTTATGTTATGTAAGAATGCTTCAAAGACCAAATACACATCAATATGGATATTTCTTTAGACTCCACGAGAAAAATAACAGCCAGTCATGGTGGGATGCAATGAATTTATCCATGAAAGGTCCCTTGATCTAACACAATGATGAACTTTTGAATTAGGAAACATAATAAATAAGAAGAGGAGTATGAGAAATTTCATTTGATTCAGCCATTACAGCTACACTGACAGGAGAGTGTGAGTTACTGCTTTCTTCAACTCAGCTCAAGAAAATAGAATGACTAGCTAATATTTTGTCACCTAAAGATAAGGATGCTTATGATGAGCTTATATGTTTACATCAATTTATCAATTAAATGGACATGGAAGTTGATCAAGAGGCATTGTTTTCAACAGTATGTACGTGCAATCATAACCTGGGTAATTGAAAAGAAAAAAAGCATAGGTGTGAGATGGAGTAAATATAAGATCTTTGAAATTTCTTGGATAAGAGAAAGCAAAGTCATTCCATACACTGTTGTCAACTGTAAATAGCATTTCCATTTTTCTGAACCAAGTACTCCATCAATCATGACATTTGGCTAATACCGTAATTTAGTTATTTTGGATTGTTGGTCTGGCTAGATTTTGATCCAGGAAACTGCGCAAGTGAGTGTGCATGCATTTGATGGATTAAAATTAAATTTAACAAGTTATCTGGTGCTTCAATCAATTAAACACACAATTTTGCTAGAAAAGATGATACCTTTTATGCATCTTGCTGGATGTGGTTTGTAAATTTTTGCTTACCACTCTCACTCAAATCTTACAATGAAGGGAGTGAGGAGTTGTACAAGAATCTGATTAACTTGATAATGTTGGGACAGGTGTTTGAGATGCCTGCAGCAGGTGACTCATGAATACTCCCTGCTGAAAAACAAGCTTCAAACCTTATTCAGGGTAAGTGTAAGAAACTGCGGCTAATAGAAATTAGTGCCTTCCTGCATTGCTTTGATTATCTATGAGTTTTTCATTTTTCTTAATGCTTGTATTCCACTGGGAAAATGAGCATACTTGCTCATTTTTTCAAGTTGAGTTTATCCGTTTCTATCCCCAACATTACTTTTAACTCGAGTTATTCCTCTTGGGTCTTTCAGTTGGAGCAACAGATCCTTGCAGTTGGTGGATCGATTCCAGTAGTGGAATAAATGACATTCATATCACCCTCGTGGTAGAACGAAGGGAGAATGAACACTTGATGTTGCATTTACATTTTTCTTATGAGTTTTTTGTTGTTTTAAATTGTAACAATGTTAAATTATTGAAGGATTTTGCTTAAATTTGTATCTAAAGCCTTTACGAGATAAGAGTAATGCTGGGAATACATATTTTTAGCTTCTGCTGCATAAGCATGCATATATATATATTTATATATATATATATATATATATATATTTGGTAGCATTATTTGTTGTTCAATGTTAAGAATTTTCATGTTAATCTGATCGATTGCTAAGAGAGCATCTGATTCACGGATTTTTAGATTTTTGAAAGGAAAGTAATTTAGGGAGGAAGTGATATTAAGGGAGAACGTGTGATTCTTAGATTTTTGTTAATTTAAAGAATGTAAGATTTCTGTATTCAGTTTATTGGAATGTTAAGATTATGGCTTAACGGTTCAAAAAGCTTCTAAACAAAAATTAAATAATTAATTAAGCATCTAATGTTTTATTGCAATTAATAAAGTCGTTATGTTTTTATTTTTGATGAAATAAATCTTAAATTAGAAATTATTTAAATTGTTAAGTTGAATTACACGTGACATTCAATAAATACGTGAAATATGATGTGATTAAATTTATTCTAACATGACACATAGTGTGGAAATTGTGGGTTTTTGCTAGATTTTTTCACTCATTTTACACGTGGCATTTTATCATTAGTCTTAAAGGGTTATTTGTAATATTTAAAAATAAAAAAACAAAGAAATTGGAAATTTTGAATAAACCTTTTTTGAAATCTCTAGTATTTTGATTAAAAAAAATCTCTAATATGTTACCCTTTTGAAATTCCTAATTCTTTCTCTACTATTAAATTTTTTAAAATCAATTAAGTTAAATCAACCTTAAACATTTAAATCTTAAAACAAAATTTAAACTCTAAACTTTTTATTGTCAAATTTCGAAAGTTGAAAGTACAATTATTGAAACCCTAAAGTCAAATCTAAAAAGCTATCTATCTTTGAAGAATTTAGTTTTTTGTCTCCGTTCAAGTGATGAGTTGATTAAGCCAAATCTCAAAATATTGTAAGGTAAATTCTTTTTTAATCCATCTTTGATTTAAGATTCCTTTAAATAAATTTTTTTTAATATGATTAAAGTTATTTTATAAAGTTAAAAATGATAGTACAGTGGTCTTATTTATGCTTGTTTGTTTGTATGCTGTATTGGGGTTTGTGGTATACTTTTACGAAATAGGTCCCAAAACATAATAAAATGTTTTTGTGTCTATTTAATATATTCAGTGTTTATCTGCTTATGCATTGTTCAATGTTTTTTGTTTATGCATGATAAAGTTTTATATTTTACTTGGTTTCTATATTAATATATTCATTATTTGTTTGCTTATGTATTATTTTATTGTAAAATGCAAAATGAATGATGAACCTAAAATTATTTGTGTTAAGATATTTTCATAGTGGTCAATTTGTCACTAATTTTGATTATGTTAATGCAACTATGAATAGATTTGAGGTAAATCCTGATAAGATATCCTATTAGAAAATAATAGAGCAAGTGAAATAATTGTGCACTTAATTTATGTTTATTATAAGGACTTTAATATTGAGTTTAATGTGGATGGATTAGTATTAATATATGATGATAGGACTATTAAGCATAATGTTGATGAGCCTCACTTTGAACCTTTTTATTGGAAGAGGTTAATGTAAAGGATAAAGAGACAAGAGGGGGTGAGGGTAGTAATATAAAGGGGTTTGGATGGTAATGTAGAGGCTAAGAATACTATAAGGGGTAAGAAGAATATAAGAGGTTTGGATGGTAATACAGAGGTTGAGAATTCTACAAGGGATTAAGAGAATATAAGGGGTTTGGATGGTAATGTAAAGGTTGACAAGATTAATGGGGATAAGGAGAATATAAAGGATGATGACAATTTAGGTGGTGAGGGTAATGAAGAGGATGCTGACTTGAGTAGTCAAACTGGGGTTGGTGAAGAACATATTAATGAGAGAATTAAGTTTGTGGTCCAAGATACAACATTTAATAAGGATGAGTTTGGTAGTTCATCATTATATGAAAAGTGTGGAGATAGAAATAAAGATTATAGAGATGTTTTCTTGTAAGATATTAACTGTATTACTGATGATGATGAAAAGATACAAGCCATTAAACAAAAATTAGGAAATCTAAAAAAAGTCAAAGGTATAATAGGCATGTGAGAGTTTAGAAATTCTAGTTGAGGTAATTAATATAGCAAATATATTAGGTATGGGAAAAAATGGCATTGAGACTAAAAAAGATAGTGAAGCTGGTGCTAAAATAGTTGATGAATGTAAGGTTGTGGATGAAGACATAGAAGGTAATACAGAAGGAAAGGTGCTGGGGCATGAAAGTGATTATATAAATTATTTAGATCCTAAAAAGTGTATAGATAGTGAGCAATCTGATGATGAATCTAACCCATTTGTGAGGAAGACATCAAATGGACCTACGTATGATCCTAATTATGTAATTCTATTATGGGAACTAGGAATGAAATTTATGGATAATAATTAGTTCAAACATGCTGTCAAGAAATATGCTTTTGCAAATGGAGTACAACTGAAATTTTTAAAAAATGAACCAAAAAGTTCTAGGTTAGGTTGTATGGAAGGTTGTCCATGGAGGCTTTTTTTTTAGTTTTGATTCTAAAGAAAACTATTATGTGGTGAAAAGTTACCATCCTGAGCATAGGTGTTTTAAAAACAACATCATTATTTACTGTCTACCAAAGACATACAGAAAATGTTTAAAGATAGATTATAGAGCAACTTATTATGAAGGTTGTAGATTTGATGGAGTTGTGTAAAAAGGAGTTAGATGTTTATGCAAATTATAATATGTATCAAAGAGCCAAATAATAATTATAATAATAATAATGTTAAAGGAGAAATGGGGTTTATGTGGATGAGTATGCCAATCTATGCGGATATGCTAAAGAGTTGATAGATAATAATTCTGGCAATACAGTTTCAATAAAGTCCATAGAGAAGATAAAGGAAGAGCTGTATTTTTTAAAATGTATATATGTTTAGAAGTTACTATATGAGGATGGAAATATGGATGTAAACCCATAATAAGTGTTGATGGATGCTTCTTGAAAACCATTTATAAGGAATAGTTATTAATGGTTATAGGCAGAGATGCAAATAATCAGATGTTCCCAATTACTTGGATAATAGTTGAGTTAGAAAACAAAGCATCATAAAAATAGTTTTTAACCAAACTAATGGTTGATCTAGACCATGTTGATGGTAAATGCTTAACACTAATTTTAGATATGCAAAATGTATGTGATTATATTTTTTTTTGGGTTTGTTATATGTAAACTGTATGGTTTAAAATTTGATAAATCATATTTGTTATAAGATTGATACCAATGGTTAGTGAAATCACTCTACTGGTAGAGCATAAAATGTGTGCTCGACATATTTATGCTAAGTGGTAGAAAAAATGGAAGGGTGAAAATAAAAAGATAAAGTTTTGGAATATTATGAGGGCTAAATATGTTGAAAACTTTGATTATCAGCTGAAAAAATTAGAAGCCATAGGATCATGATTTGTTAATGATGTTTCAATAGTTCCTATGCAATATTGGTCTAAAGCATATTTTAAAACTTTTTTTAAGTGTGATGCAATGAACAACAATCTTCTTGAGGCTTTCAATGGTTGAATAATTTATGCAAAATGCAAGCATATTATCAGTATGTTAAAAGAAATTAGAATAATGGTGATGAAAATGATGCATATGAAAATGACTTAGGCATAAAATTGGCCTACCAACATATCATTAAATGCATTGGTGAAGTTGGAGAAAAATATGGATTTGTTAACTTATTGCAGACTAAAATCAAATGGTGATGGTGGATTTGAGGTATTTCAAGGTGTTGATCAACCTACAATGAGCTTAAAATAGTTGAAATGCACATGTAAGGTATGGGATCTGAATGGAATTCCTTGCCCTCATATTTGTGCTATATATCATGACAAAAAAAGCCAAAACATTATGTTTCCAACTGATATAGTAAAGATAAGTATTTTTTTTCTTACTATCATGTGTTGCAGCCAATTAGGGTGAAAAAATTTTGACGACAAAATACAAATCTAATACATATTCATATTTTAGAGTCATACTTGGTAGACCTAAAAGGAAAATAATCAAAGATAAGAATGAGCCAAAAAAATGAAAAGTGGTAAGTATACTTGAAAAGGTATGATTATGAAATATACTTTTGGTGCACAAACTGGACATAACAAGCAAAGTTATCCAAAAACAAGAACAAGCAGCTCCTTACAACAATAAAGTTACTTCATTCTTTTGCTAAAATCTTTAACAATGAGTATTTTAGGTTCAACTTAAAAGAAGTTTATGTATTGTTAATTTTAGTAAACATCACCCACCCATGAAGCAGTGAATGCACAATCATCATAAACACTTTTAAGACAATAAAATGTGCAATTATGCACAATCATCCCTTAACTTGAATGCGTTTTAGTAAATTTTTTTAGGTTTAAAAAATTGTGTTACTTATAAATTATAGTCTTATTTTAGGGTGATAGTTAATCAAGAAAAATAGCTAAGACTAAAGAAAAGGAAAGGAAAAGTTACAACAGTGTATTGCTCCAATAGTTTTAATCAATAAAGGGAAGGAGAAAATTATTTCTAATGGTCTTGAAATTGATTCCCAAAATTAGCAAATTGGACAAAAAAGAAAGCGGATGGAAGGGATTGGATTATATACCCATCTAGAAACTAGTGAACAAGTTTGGAATGTAAGTAAACATGCTTCATTTACCATAATCCCTATAATTAAATTTCATACCTTTTAATCAAACCGATTCTTTCATAGCGAGCCTAGTAGAGAAATTGAGAGGATTGTAAGACAAAAAAGACAAATTAAAGCTCAAGATCATGCTGCATTTGATCATACTTGGAAAGGGAAGTGCTCGAAATGAAAAGGAAAAGAGCTATGACCACAAGGTAACTATAACAACAGAAGGATGTTAAATTGAAGAAAAATAAAATGAGGCCACCAAAGAATCCAGTCGGGACAAAGTCATCTCAAACTGGTTCAACAGCTAAACCAATTTGAAAAGTATGAAAATTTGATAGTTTTTTTTGTGTTAG